CTAGTGTGCTTCGTTCAGTTACGTATTGCTAGGGGGTGAGGGAAGTGAGGATAGGGCCCTTAATCTAATAGTGACAACATACCAATCAGGGCCACCTCCTCCATTCAGGGCCAAGATGAGTCAGTAAGATTGTCATGTTATCCTAAGCGTTTTATTTTACCAAGAGATGACACTGAGGAGTTTAAAATGAGCACAAGGGGAATGGAACCCATGTTTTGGTGTACCCTAACCTAAGCATACCATTACACACACACACATAAATATCCCCCCACATACAAACAGTCCCAAACACACAACACATATGAGTATACACACACACATACCCCCACACACACATACCCCCACACACACATAGCCCCACACACACATACCCCCACATACACATAGCCCCACACACACATAGCCCCACACACACATACCCCCACACACACATAGCCCCACACACACATAGCCCCACACACACATACCCCCACACACACACATAGCCCCACAAATCCAAATGGCTGAGTCGCAAATATCAACCAAGAATAAAGGAATTAACAAAATATAATAAAAAAAAGATGAAGAATGATAAGCACAACAAGACTCAAGTAATAAAAAACAAACATAGGCATAAATCAACAAGGAAGAAGGTAATAAGAGAGACACGTGGAGATAATAAATGTAGACATAGAGATAATGAGTATTTGATTGAGTTGTTTTATTTTGACATCTTCTTTACTTTCTCTCACTCACTACTTCCTTCCTTCCTTCTCACTCCTCCTCTTCCCTCATTCATCTACTCCCTCCTCCTCCTCCTCCTCCTCCTCCTCCTCCTTGTTCCCACACACCACCACACCAGTAGTCAAATATAAAGCCCTTAACTGCAGTAATTGGAACCACTTGTTAAAATTCCCTCACCGTGAACCTTCCATTATATCTGCCTCCTCACCTCACCTCAACTGCCCTGCCTCACTTAACCTAACCTCACTAACTTTACCTTGACTCACTAACCATCCATGACCAACCTTACCTTACTAACCTTATCTTAACTAACCATCCATCACCTACCTTACCTTACCTTTCACTTGCCTTTTATTTTATTTTTTATTTATCCACATTTTTATTTCCTTTACGGGATTTTCTTAATTTAAATATATATACAGTAATTATATTTTTTACGCTTCTTACTATTAATGTCTTTTTGTTTTTAATTTGGTGCTTTTGTTGTTTTTTTCGACATTTCAGGTAAAATTCTCGAAATCGTTGGTCGCTAATTGAGATGGTAGTTAATTGGTCTCTCTCTCTCTCTCTCTCTCTCTCTCTCTCTCTCTACTAAATACAATGCTCACCCTCTTTTCTCTCTCCCTCCCTCTCTCTTTCAGTGCCTCTCTCCCTCCCCCTTCTCCCCACCTGTCACCCCATACCCACATCCTTTCTCCCCACCACTATAAATACCAGATGCCTTGCCCACGTTGCCCATTACCCGGAAACGCGTGACTTTGCTGGGTACCGTAGCCAACATCTGCCCACACGTGTCTACCCCTCCTGGATACGTGTCTCACTGATATGGCACACTTTGGACACGTGACATGACAGTCCTTTCCTGTATCTGGACACGTGGCACATCTCCGTGACTCTAAACACTGGCCACGTATAATCTTTTCTCTACTTGGACACGTGTCATTCCTAGATACTCAAATACACGTGTCACATACAGTACAACCATTTCCTCTACTTGGACACGTGTCATTCCTATATAAGGCCCTCTGCTGTATTAAGACACGCGTTATACAAATATGCCAACACCCCGCCCCCCACCACCCGTTTCTTGACACGTATCCAATTCCTGGGGCTGTGCTGTCCCCTGTAGTTGGATACGTATGAGGTGTGTGACATGGGTGTCTCTCTCTCTTTCTCTCAACACATGTCACATTATTATGATCACTTTTCGTCATATTTGGACACGTGTGATATATAACTTCCTCTCTCACCTTGACATGCGTGACATTGATGCGACAAATGGTCATACAAACTGTCATATACACTTTTCCTCTCCCACTTTATACCTGAAGAGACTGCTAACCTAACCTAACCTAACCAAACATAACATAACATAACATAACATAACCAAAACATAACCAAGCCTGACCTGATCTAACCTAACCTAACCCAACCTGACCTGACCTAACCAAACCTAACCTGAAGAGACTGCTGGTGGGGTTTCATATACGGTGCAGTAAAACCTAACCAAACCAAACATAACATAACATAACATAATATAACATAACCAAAACCTAACCAAACCAAACATAACATAACATAACATAACCAAACCACAGAGACGATTTCAGTCAGAATTATTCACCAAGATGACCACCACCACCACCACCACAACAACAACAAACTTCGCCACCTTAGGCAAAACTCGAGCGAACATTCGTCTGACTTCCGCGATGTTGTTATTATACAGGAAGGAGAGCAGCGGCGTTTCGTCAGGCTTAGTTGATTGCTCTTACTGGCATAAATCAACCTTTCAAGATTTATATATAAAAATTATCACAAGTAAACTTATATAAACAGATCCAGCATCACACACTTACACCAGTTGACCAAACCAGTACCACACATCTGTCCCTACACACCTCTACCACACCAAGACCACACACTTGCATCTCACATCTGTCACTACACACCTGTCACACCAGTATTTAAATCACCCCATCCATGCATCACTATTTCCGGGTACACTAACCAAGGATTGCTGTTGACATTATTACTGTCTGAGGTCAAGCGTTTATCATCATATATTATGTAGTGTGTGTGTATGTGTGTGTGTGTGTGTGTGTGTGTGTGTGTGTGTGTGTGTGTGTGTGTGTGTGTGTGTGTGTGTGTGTGTGTGTGTGTGTATGTGTGTGTGTGTGTGTATGTAGTGTGTGTATGTATGTGTGTGTGTGTGTGGTGTGTGTGTGTGTGTGTGCGTGCGTGTGTGTGTGTGTGTGTGTGTGTGTGTGTGTGTGTGTGTGACCGTTTTTGTGGTGTGTGTAAACTGTATATGTTTTTGTGACTGTGTGTGTGTATTTTTCATGACTGTGTGTGTGTGTGTATTTTTGTGACTGTGTGTGTGTACGAGTGTACGTGTGTATCTGTCCTCTCCTCAAGACCTCTTTACAAGCAACACTCCTTAAGCGCTCAGCAATATGACACCCTGAAGACAGTCTATACTTCAAGGTGTAAATTGCTTTGAGATTAACATGTACACTTCCTGAATACACCCAGATATATTAACACACCCACACACCTAAATACTACAGTCTCAGGACAATATCGCGGCCATTTTGTATTATATATTCTTGTTTTTGTTGACATGAATCAATTAACTAACTTCTTACACTACCTGATTAATTTAGGATATTTAGTGAGGCCCAAAACACCCAGGTAACACAGGTAATACATGTACTAATTGGAGTATAATTACCTGACTTACCTGTGTCGTGTGGGGGATTATTTATGTGGTTACAACAAAGATGGCGTATGGGAGACAAATAACTAGTTAATATGCGCCATAGTTGTGTTTATAATGTTCTAATTGGTTTGTGAATCAGCCAATCACAGGTCGTATTTCCACCACTGCATACTCGCAAAAGGTTGACCACCACCACCACTACTACTACAGCCACCATCTTCACTACCACAAGTACCACTATCATCACTACTATCACCATTACCACTATCATTACTAACGACCACCATCATCACTACCACCATCACACAACATAAGTACCACTACTATTACTACCACTATCATCACTACTATCACTACCACTATCATCACTACTATAACCATTACCACTATCATTACTACGACTACCATCACACAACACAACTACCACTACTACCACCATTACCACTATCATCACTATGACCACCATCATCACTACCACTATCATCACTACCACCACCACAGTCAATACATCAAAACGATCAACACTACCTGAACCACTACACCACACACACACACTAGACCGTCTTATAACACCCTAAATAAATCTCTTCAACTATAAAGGAACCAAGAAGCTGCTCAAAATGACCACGTCTTCACTATAAAAAATTCCAACCTCATTACTTTAAATACCTTACACTTGTATATTTCACCAAGAGGCCAATTTTATAATCTACCTCCAAATCCAACCGCTGATATTACGTTGATAAAATATGGATTTCCGACTAGTGCGAATCCTGAGGGACACTGATGTCCAAGAGATTCTGTCTGGGACCCCACGACGCCTGGGCACGCACATCCGGTTCGCAAACCATTTCCAGATCCTCCAGGATGGACCTCTGGCCGAGGGCGAGGGTGTGTTCCTCGCCTACGACCTCCCAGAAGACGGTATCCACTGCGTATCACTGTACCGCTGCTTCGACGGCCGCTACCTGTACCACGACTCCACACCTAGACCAATGAATCAACTAGTACGACGGTTCATGCAGATCCACAACATCCCACAGGAGCAAGTGGCAATAGTTGATGCCATTGTGCAGGGCCCCGTCTTCCACACATGTGCCTACCACGCCCTTGCCTTCCTTGACATCGTCTCCAGTGTTGTCATCGAAGACTCATGGCTCGTTGTCCACCACTACAAGGAAGCGATCCGTTCACCCTTCCCCGATGAACTTGTGGTGCTTCGAGCCTTCCGGATGATCGGCGAGTTCCACAACACTATCAACCTCACAGCTCCCAGCATCTACGAAAGTGTTCTGCCTCCCGTCCACTGAACCCCCCCCGTTATTATGTGTAAATTTAAAATATAATTCACATTCAATAAACTGTAAATAATCATTACTATTAGTTA